TGCTTCCCCTTCTCAAGAGACCAGTAGCCTCTATTTGTCCTCTCCTATCTTGGCAGCTGCCAATATCACTCTCTGCTCCATTTGCCTCTTCCACCTCTTACATTACTCCAAGCGCCTCTACCTTAATTACAGAATCTACTGAGTTCACTTATTCTTTCATTATAAAAAAAAATCGCGAAAGACGTTGCTCACCCCTATTACTTTCACATTATCATCCACCACACCACACTTCTCTCCTACGTCTTTCTTGGAGAAGCTGACAGGACAATCTTTGCCTTCATTCAGTCTTAAGCTTATTTATGCTAGACTACCTTGATCAGCTATTTACATCAGTCTCACTCCAGCTCTTTCAAAATTTGATTCCATTAATCAAGTTCGTTTTTTCGATCTTTCCCTCTCGAGAGCCTATATACAGAGGTTAACGTTCCATCATCGCAGGATCGACACGGTGCCCTTTGTCGCCGCTAGTTCTTCCACTACCATGGCCTTTATGATCCTTCTTTGTATAAAACGGTAATAATTAGTAATTTAACTCAACGTCTTCTGGCTACACTTCCTGTTGAACCTCGACCAGTGTCTACCTACTAGGCGAGTTTTCCCTAGATTTTCGTTTTCCTTAATTGCTGTGACATTTCTCTCAGGCAAATGCCAGACAGTTTTATTAATAATATCAAGTCCTTTATATTTCTTAAGTCCAATTGATATTCTTGATAACCAGTATGATACCAATGTTAACTTTGCAAGTTAATCACTAAATTACATTCGTTAATGAGCTGACTTTTCTGTTTCCTATAATACTTAATCTCCTTTGTACAAGGCACTCGGTGGCCTGGAGTACTGAATGTTCTCCCTCCACTAACCTGTCTTAGCAATGTATCCCTCGCAAAGAATTTGCTGAGATTTCTTACTCATACATCTATATACCTACAAACCAAGGACCACAGGGCGGCCATGTTCCTTTTTCAGAGACTCAGTGTTGCAATCCAGAGGGGAAATGCCTGCAGCAATCTGGGCATGCGGCCCACCACCGGGGAGCTAGATGAAGTATTCGAGATGTAGTTCTGAGTTGTTATCTATGTTGTTTTATCCCCTATTGTATTTCCATCAGTGTATTTTGTCAATGCATTTTGTCTTTAAACAAAATATATATTAATTTTCAAACAGCTAGATGTTTTATCACCATCCGAGGACATTCGGTGGTGTGGGAGCTTCTAAGCTAATTTCATTCTCCTCCCTGTTTGGTGTACTAGCCTCACGAGCAGCATTTATATATTACTGTAACCACGAGCGAGTGGCATTGATCAACAACAATGTGCTAGCCAATTACTTGACCCCATGATGTACTGGTCTGCCTCATGGTGAGCGAGAACCACATGATGGTGGTCCTGTGGGTTACAGCATCATATGCTTCTCGCTCACCATTAGGCGGGCCAGTAGAACATGGGTTCAAGTCTTTGGCTAGCTCAGCGTTGTTGATATATATATATATATATATATAATATATATATATATATATATATATATATATAAATATATATATATATATATATATATATATAATATATATATATATATATATATAATTGTACCCACGAACAATGGTAATTTATCAATAACAACACTGCTACTAGCTGAGGAGTCGAACACATGCTGCTTTGGCCTGCCTTACGGTGGGTGAAAACACATGACGCCTTAATTCATGGGACCACACAATCTTTAAGAGTATCGCATCCAGCAGAGCTGGATGTTGTACTCGCTACTCAAGGACATAAGTTGAGTGGATGACTAGGCTAATTTCATTCTAGTCCTTGTTTGGTGTACTAGTACAACGACCAGTATATTATATTATTGTACCATATAAATTATATATATATATATATATATATATATATATATATATATATATAAATATATAATATATATATATATAATATATATATTTAACAAGTCGGCTGTCTCCCACGGAGGCAGGGTGACCCAAAAAGGAAAATAATCCCCAAAAAGAAAATACTTACATCATCATTAAAAACTTTCACACATAATCACATAATCACTGCTTTTGCAGAGGTGCTCAGAACACAACAGTTTAGAAGCATATATGTATAAAGATACACAACATATCCCTCCAAACTGCTAATATCCCGAAATCCCTCCATTAGATTGCAGGCATTGTATTTTCCATTTCCAGGACTCAAGTCTGGCTATATAAAAATAACCGGTTTCCCTGAATCCCTTCACTAAATATTACCCTGCTCACACTCCAACAGATCGTCAGGTCCCAAATACCATTCGTTTCCATTCACTCCTATCGAACACGCTCATGCACGCCTGCTGGAAGTCCAAGCTCCTCGCCCACAAAACCTCCCTTACCCCTCCCTTCCAACCTTTTCGAGGACGACCCCTACCAAGCCTTCCTTCCCCTACAGATTTACACACTCTACATGTCATTCTACTTTGATCCAGTCTCTGTAAATGGCCAAACCACCTCAACAACCCCTCTTCAGCCCTCTGACTAATGCTTTTATTAACTCCACACCTTCTCCTAATTTCCACACTCCGAATTTTCTGCATAATATTTACACCACATATTGCCCTTAGACAGGACATCTCCACTGCCTCCAACCGCCTCCTCGCTGCTGCATTCACAATCCAAGCTTCACATCCACTATACTTTCATACATTTCCTTCTTTGCCTCCATAGATAACGTTTTTTGTCTCCACATATACCTCTACGCACCACTCGCCTTTTTTTCCTCATCAATTATATGATTAACCTTATCCTTCATAAATCCATCCGCCGACACGTCAACTCCCAAATATCTGAAAACATTCACTTCTTCCATACTCCTCCTCCCCAATTTAATAACCAATTTTTCTTTTCTAAATCATTTGATACCCTCATCACCTTACTCTTTTCTATGTTCACTTTCAACTTTCTACCTTTACACACACTCCCAAAACTCATCCACTAATCTTTACAATTTTTCTTTAGAATCTCCCATAAGCACAGTATCCTCAGCAAATAGCATCTGTTTCAATTCCCATTTTGTATTTGATTCCCCATAATTTAGTCCCAACCCTCTCCAAAACACCCTAGCATTTGCTTCTTTTACAACTCCATCTATAAATATATTAAAGAACCATGGTGACATTACACATCCCTGTCTAAGACCTACTTTTACCGGGAAGTAGTCTCCCTCTCTTCTACACACCCTAACCTGAGCCTCACTATCCTCATAAAAATTCTTATCAGCATTTAGTAACTTACCACCTATTCCATGTACTTTCAACATCTGCCACATTGCTCCTCTATCCACTCTATCATATGCCTTTTCTAAATCCATAAATGCAATAAAAACTTCCCTACCTTTATCTAAATACTGTTCACATATATGCTTCAATGTAAACACTTGATCTACACATCCCTTACCCACTCTGAAACCTCCTTGCTCATCCGCAATCCTACATTCTGTCTTACCTCTAATTCTTTCAATTATAACCCTACCGTACACTTTTCCTGGTATACTCAGTAAATTTGTTCCTCTATAATTTTTACAATCTCTCTTGTCCCCTTTCCCTTTATATAGAGGGACTATACATGCTCTCTGCCAATCCCTACGTACCTATATATATATATATATTTTTTTTTTTTTATTATTATCACACTGGCCGATTCCCACCAAGGCAGGGTGGCCCGAAAAAGAAAAACTTTCACCATCATTCACTCCATCACTGTCTTGCCAGAAGGGTGCTTTACACTACAGTTTTTAAACTGCAACATTAACACCCCTCCTTCAGAGTGCAGGCACTGTACTTCCCATCTCCAAGACTCAAGTCCGGCCTGCCGGTTTCCCTGAACCCCTTCATAAATGTTACTTTGCTCACACTCCAACAGCACGTCAAGTATTAAAAACCATTTGTCTCCATTCACTCCTATCAAACACGCTCACGCATGCCTGCTGCTTGAGCAGGCAATATATATATATATATATATATATATATATATATATATTATATATATATATATATATAATATATATATAATATATATAATATATATTATATATATATATATATATATATATATATATATATATATATATATATATAATATATATATATAATTATATATATATATATATATAAGATTTTTAGCAATAAATTTGCGAAAATCTATTTGTCTAACAAAAAAAATATTTATTATTTACTTTACGTAATTACATATAAATTTACCTTTGATATATGAAGCAGAATTAAATTAAAAAAAGTTTAGCGTAAGATATGTTCTTTCAGGTTTTTATGTTAGATTTTTGTCTAAAAATAATATATTGATAAAGTTCATCAGCAATTTTTGGAACTGCTCTTTTGACTGTTGTAATAAGGACATGAGTGTCTGTGACCTGAGGATAATGATGAATTTGCTCTAGAAAAGTATATTAAGAATATTTTAAGAATATTTGTGTATTCTTGTTGATGCCCGAGTCGAGTAACACGAGACGATACTCATTTATTCTACTGAATGTCAATTTACTGCTGACGAATAATTTATGTAAATTAACTGTGAAGTTCCCGGGATCCTTCTTCTATGATCCTGAAGATTATTTTCAATATACGCAACGTTGTAAGTTCAGATATAAATTATTATTAAGGTAATTCCGTTAAAAGAACATTTATGCATATTTTAAATTGTTTCAGATATAATTTCCCGCTGATGGCCCAAAAATATAATTATAAAATTTCCCGTCAGAAATTACTGTGAGGTCGACAGTTATTCAATAATATTTATTTGTAATATTTTTCGGAATTTGAATCTATTTATTTTTTTTTTATTTTTTAATCATATATCGTTCTTCATATTTTTTTTCCACTTTACGCTTCAGTCATTAGAATAATTTACTTTTCACTGTTTTTGTGTTAAACCTCAATCAAAATCCAGTAAAACATTGTTTCAATTGTTAAATTTACACATTTTTTCCTCATTGTCTTTGATGATGTTGCAGGGAATGCAGGTGCAACACAACGTGTCAGTGGGGGTGATCATCAGCAACCAGACACTGGTGATCCAGAGGCTCCGTCGACAACACACTGGTCTCTTTACCTGTGTTGCTTCTAACATTGAGGGAGATGGACAGAGCAATGCAGTCATCCTTAATGTTCAGTGTGAGTAACAATAGCAATTATTTTTGTATGTATGTACGTGTGCGTGTATATATATATATATATATATATATATATATATATATATATATATATATATAATATATATATATTATATATATATATATATATATATATATATGCAATAAGATCACAGTAAACAGGTGATTTCAGAATATGCAAAACAACCACTCTGAAAGAATAGAGAAATTCCAAGCGCTTTCGTGACTACTCACATTATCAAGGAACTATGAAAGTAAAGCATCCAAGGAAGCTATATAAGGGGTCTGGCCAGCACCTCACTATCAGATCCCAAAAACGGTTAAACACCTGACGCGCGCCGACCCAACTTGGATAGGTCCTTTGCACAACTCACCCCACAAACTATTCTACCCAACAAAATTTAAAAATTATTTGTCCAGTGTATTATTAATTCTTCCCAATTTCTATTAATTATAAATGGATCTAATTTATATAAACCAAAGGAAATATTCATATTATTGTCAAAACTGCTTTTTATGAAACAAGATTCAATTATATTCCTGTCAACCATGGACTTGCTTGATACTACTTTCTCAACTTTTTGAAAATCAATTGGATGGTTAAAAATCTCTTACATGAATAAATTAGAGCATTGGAATTTTGTCCAGTTCTAATGCTATATTTATGTTGTTTTAATCTTAGTTCGAGATTTTTACCAGTTTGACCGTAATAAACTTTATCGCAAATTTTACAAGGAATCTTATACACACATCCATCAGCATTTTGGGGGGAATTCTTTATCAAAAGTTTTTTTTACTGTATCAAGATTTTTGAATACAACTTTAATATTAAAAGTCTTAAGAAGAGAAGGCATATCAACCAAGTTTTCATGGTAAGGGAGAACCAGAAATATTTTTAGTTGAATAAGGCTGGTTGTCCCTTTTTGGATTGTAAAAAGTATTTCTAGCAACTTTAAAAAGATTTATCAATTACATTTCTTGGGTATTTTAAATCATTACCTATTTCATAAATTTTGGATATTTCCTCATCTACGAACTCAGGACTACAAATTCGTTAAAGCTCTCAGAAACATTGATGAGAAAACAGACAGTTTGACTCTATCTTGATGCGAGGAATAATAATGGACATAGGAACAGTTATTTGTAGGTTTTTCTGTAAATTTTAAATTTGAATTCATTATTACCCTTAATAATTAAAACATCTAGAAAAGGCAATGAGTTATTTTCTTCAAACTCAACAGTAAAGTTTATAGAATGGGCTAAGCTATTTAATTTTTCCTAGGAAATGGTGTATATTACATTTTTGGGCATAAAACACAAAATATCATCAACATATCTGAACCATTTAGCTCTATTAGGAGGATTGTGTTAAAGTAACCTTGTTTCAAAAAACTTCATGTATAGGTTTATAAGAACAGGTGAAAGAGGGTTTCCCATTGCCATACCAAACTTCTGAGTGTAAAACTTATCATTAAATACAAATTTTGCATCAACAATGCAAAGTTTAATAAGTTTAATGATAGTAGGAACTGGCAATGGTAAATCATAGTTAACGAGTTCTTCAGATAAGAAACTTAATAAATCATCAACAGGAACTTTCGTAAACAAGGAAGTAACATCAAAACTAACCATGTTAAAATCATTTAAGTCAGTCAAGGAGCTTAATTTATCAACCAAGTCTATGTTGTTTTTAACATTAAGTTAGAAATTTTGCCAATTTTGCCAAATTAACTTATCAGATGAAATTTTAGACAAAAATTCAACTGCTGCTCTAGGTTTTGGCCTAAGTTTTGCAACTTCAAAAAAGCTTAATAATGTTGAAATTGCAAAAGCCTTTTGTAACTTTGAAAAATTTGCTGATTTATCCTCTGATGAAATTAATATTAGTGAAGGAATGGTATATAGCTCTATGTTAAAACCAAACATTCCCAATTGCCCTCAAAGATTCTTTAAGTCTTATTTTACACTTAATAATAAAAAAAATTTGCGCCTTACTAATGCAGACAAAATAAATGCAATAGTAATTATGAAAGAAAATGATTACCAAGAAAAAATGAATAATCTCTTAGATGATACTGAAACCTATTCAAAACTTAGGAAAAATCCCCTAGAAACCGTTAACAGCAATTTCAATAAAACAAAACTTCTCGAAAGGCAAAGAGAATTATTTCAAACAATTTACTTCCACTAATCCATTTTTGGGCCTTTACATGTATGGACTAAAAAAAACACACAAACCAGGGAATCCAGTCAGACCAATTTTAGCTCCATAGGGTCAGTTTCATATAAATTATCCAAATGGCTTGTTGATATTTTGAGCCCTATTGTTGGCAAAATTTCTAACTTTAATGTTAAAAACAACATAGACTTGGTTGATAAATTAAGCTCCTTGACTGACTTAAATGATTTTAACATGGTTAGTTTTTTATGTTACTTCCTTGTTTTTCGAAAGTTCCTGTTGATGATTTTAAGTTTCTTATCTGAAGAACTCGTAAACTATGATTTTACCATTGCCAGTTCCTACTATCATTAAACTTATTTTAAATTTTTCATTGTTGATGCAAAATTTGTATTTAATGATAAGTTTTACACTCAGAAGTTTGGTATGGCAATGGGAAACCCTCTTTCACCTGTTCTTAGTAAAACCCATACATGGAATTTTTTTGAAACAAGGTTACTTAACACAATCCTCCCTAATAGAGCTAAATGGTTCAGATATGTTGATGATATTTTGTGTCTTATGCCCAAAAATGTAGATATACACCATTTCCTAGGAAAATTAAATAGCTTAGCCCATTCTATAAACTTTACTGTTGAGTTTGAAAAAAATAACTCATTGCTTTTTCTAGATGTTTTAATTATTAAGGGAAATAATGAATTCAAATTTAAAATTTACAGAAAACCTACAAATAACTGTTCCTATGTCCATTATTATTCCTCGCATCAAGATAGAGTCAAACTGTCTGTTTTCTCATCAATGTTTCTGAGAGCTTTACGAATTTGTAGTTCTGAGTTCATAGATGAGGAAAAAATCCAAAATTTATGAAATAGGTAAATGATTTAAAATACCCAAGAAATGTAATTGATAAATCTTTTAAAGTTGCTAGAAATACTTTTTATAATCCAAAAAGGGACAACAAGCCTTATTCAACTAAAAATATGTTGGTTCTCCCTTACCATGAAAACTTGGTTGATATGCCTTCTCTTCTTAAGACTTTTAATATTAAAGTTGTATTCAAAAAATCTTGATACAGTAAAAAAACTTTTGATAAAGAATTCCCCCCAAAATGCTGATGGATGTGTGTATAAGATTCCTTGTAAAATTTGCGATAAAGTTTATTACGGTCAAACTGGTAAAAATCTCGAACTAAGATTAAAACAACATAAATATAGCATTAGAACTGGACAAGATTCCAATGCTCTATTTATTCATGTAAGAGATTTTAACCATCCAATTGATTTTCAAAAAGTTGAGAAAGTAGTATCAAGCAAGTCCATGGTCGACAGGAATATAATTGAATCTTGTTTCATAAAAAGACGTTTTGACAATAATATGAATATTTCCTTTGGTTTATATAAATTAGATCCATTTATAATTAATAGAATTTGGGAAGAATTTAATAATACATTGGACAAATAATTTTTAAATTTTCTTGGGTAGAATAGTTTGTGGGGTGAGTTGTGCAAAGGACCTATCCAAGTTGGGTCGGCGCGCGTCAGGTGTTTAACCGTTGTGGGATCTGATAGTGAGGTGCTGGCCAGACCTATTATATAGCTTCCTTGGATGCTTTACTTTCATAGTTCCTTGATAATGTGAGTAGTCACGAAAGCGCTTGGAATTTCTCTATTCTTTCAGAGTGGTTGTTTTTGCATATATATATATATAAAATATATATATATATATATATATATAATATATATATATATATATATATATAAATAAATATATATAAATAAGTAAACAAGATATGATGTAGGGCGAAATGACAGTAGTTTGTTGGATTATGTATTGGTAGATAAAAGACTGTTGAGTAGACTTCAGGACGGGCCACAGATATATCAGATCACTTTCTAGTTGTAACTACACTGAGAGTAAAAGGCAGATGGGATACAAGGAGAATAGAAGCATCAGGGAAGAGAGAGGTGAAGCTTTATAAACTAAAAGAGGAGGCAGTTAGGGTGAGATATAAACAGCTATTGGAGGATAGATGGGCTAATGAGAGCATAGGCAATGGGGTCGAAGAGGTATGGGGTATGTTTAAAAATGTAGTGTTAGAGTGTTCAGCAGAAGTTTGTGGTTACAGGAAAGTGGGTGCGGGAGGGAAGAGGAGCGATTGGTGGAATGATGATGTAAAGAGAGTAGTAAGGGAGAAAAAGTTAGCATATGAGAAGTTTTTACAAAGTAGAAGTGATGCAAGGAGGGAAGAGTATACGGAGAAAAAGAGAGAGGTTAAGAGAGTGGTGAAGCAATGTAAAAAGAGAGCAAATGAGAGTGTGGGTGAGATGTTATCAACAAATTTTGTTGAAAATAAGAAAAAGTTTTGGAGTGAGATTAACAAGTTAAGAAAGCCTAGAGAACAAATGGATTTGTCAGTTAAAAATAGGAGAGGAGAGTTATTAAATGGAGAGTTAGAGGTATTGGGAAGATGGAGGGAATATTTTGAGGAATTGTTAAATGTTGATGAAGATAGGGAAGCTGTGATTTCGTGTATAGGGCAAGGAGGAATAACATCTTGTAGGAGTGAGGAAGAGCCAGTTGTGAGTGTGGGGGAAGTTCGTGAGGCAGTAGGTAAAATGAAAGGGGGTAAGGCAGCCGGGATTGATGGGATAAAGATAGAAATGTTAAAAGCAGGTGGGGATATAGTTTTGGAGTGGTTGGTGCAATTATTTAATAAATGTATGGAAGAGGGTAAGGTACCTAGGGATTGGCAGAGAGCATGCATAGTTCCTTTGTATAAAGGCAAAGGGGATAAAAGAGAGTGCAAAAATTATAGGGGGATA